CAGGAGAACACGCTCAGAACACAGAAGAACACGCTCAGAACACACAACACAGTCACAGTCACATGATCTGTGTCAGAGTCTGAGTGTGACAGTTTAACCCTCACTCTCTCCTCGGGGTCACATTGACCAGAAGAATTTTTTTTTTCCTTCCCGCTCTCTTGAGGCGGGTCAATCAGACCCAAACATTTATTTTCTCGCCTGGTGAGAATTTATTTGAAAATAAATGTTTGGGTCTGACCCGCCTCAAGAGAGCAGAAGAAAAAAATTGTCTTCAGGTCAATGTGACCCCGAGGAGAGAGTGAGGGTCAAGTCTGAATGATCCAGTTCTGTTCTGGGTCTGAGCTTCTGCAGGAGACGCTTCATTTTTTAAACCAGCGGATGGAGCTGGAGAAACACCAACACTGTGTTGGAAATGTTACACACAAATGTTTTACACACAAATACACACACCTTGAGGCCTCATCCACACATCACCAGTTCAAACCCTCCTCGGGGTTTGAAGAACTTTTTGAGGACATTTTGAGTTAGTTGTGAGACTCACGTTGCTGTAGATCTGCTGCAGCGTGTCTCGGGCGTTGGACACAGACAGATCTGTGTTCAGGACAAACTTGAGTCCACTCGACGTCTCGTAGAAATGAAGTTTGTATTTACTGGTCTGGAACGAAAGAAACCCGTCCTTCCTGAAGAGAACTGGTCAAGGACTAAACCAGGACTGAACCAGGACTAAACCAGGACTAAACCAGGACTGAACCAGGACTGAACCAGGACTGAACCAGGACTGAACCAGGACTAAACCAGGACTGAACCAGGACTGAACCAGGACTGAACCAGGACTGAACCAGGACTGAACCAGGACTAAACCAGGACTGAACCAGGACTAAACCAGGACTAAATGTAAATGTATATAAAGTACAGATCCTGTTTGGAGACACATTGGTAATGACACGTCCTGTATTATTCATCATGTCTTGAACCTGTTCTGATCATATGTTCTTATTAAACAGGATACATGTCCAGGGGCGACATTTTACTGACGAAGGACCTGATGGAGAACAGCATCCCGTACATGAGTTTAAACTCCTGAAATCACAAACACAAAGAAAAATCACGGACAATAAACAACCTGAAGAACGACACGTGATCAGAATCTGAACACGCATTAAACAGAATCATGCATTAAACATAAATAAAGTGATGTTTTCTTGTTGCTGTGACCTCTTCTTTGGAGATGCCCGCCTGTTTTTTCCTGTTCCACTCGTTATAAAAAAGGCAGTTTCCATTTCGGTCGAAAATGTACAGATTATGAACAGTCATCTGTAAGAGAACAGAACATCACACTTTACACATGTTTACACTTACGGGCTTGTAGGAGTTTAAACAGGCAATTTTATGGAAGCCGAATGAAAAATAACCTCGTGCATATTCTGTAGATGTTAAAATAAAAGTTTCATCACGTGTATTTTCTTCATAAGCAGTAGAATAGTGTATAATCAGTGTTTTTTCTAAATTAGTCTCGGGCTGCAGTTTGTCTGATAATCTCGCTCTTATAATTAAAATTAACTGAGTACTGACGCATGGACCGTGACGTTATAACACTATGAAACCATAAATGCTCCATTATTCCATTTTAAAACCTTATTTTTGTGTTTTTATCGTAAAGTCCTGGAAACAGCGCCGTGTTTACCTTTGCTTCCTCTTCCACCGGAGCTGCCTAAACACGCATGCGCAGAACACGGAGCTGACAGAAAAATCATGGAATAAAAAATATTTATAAATGTCAAAAAAACTAATTATAGCGTTTGAAAAATAAAAAATACACAAAAAATGTCGCATTAGTTTAAGAATAATTTTTTTTCTTTTGACACGAGAGTTTAACAGCGGTCGTCTCTGCGCATGCGCCGTAGTACTGTTTAGATTGAATCAAAATGGCGGCCGCGGTGTCCATGATGTCGGGCTTTGGACCGAACATTTCTTCTCAAAACGAGCTGGTTCCGGACTGGACCCGCACGGAAGTCAGCACCGGGGTGAGTGCTAAACCTGCGGGACAGGTTGGGTTCGGGATCGGCTCGGTTTGGTCCGGTTTGGACGGTAAAAGTTTAAATCAGCGGCTGAATGAGACAGCACTTCTGCGGCACCGGAGGCTAAAGGCTAAAGGAGGCTAACGCAGAGAAGAACCGAACCGAGCCGAACCGAGCCGGGACAGAAAGAAGGAAAAACTAACCATAGACTTCTCAAATAACTCCGCGGTTATTTATTTAAAATAGTTTTTGTGAAAGGACCTGGCGCTTCTGTCGGTCACAAACCTCAACAAACTCCTCAGTCTCTGGGTCAGAACCCGACAGAACCCCCCGAACCCGACAGAACCACCCGAACCCCAGAACCCCCAGAACCGGACAGAAACCCCGAGCCCGACCCGACGGAACCCTGTTTAGATCCGAACTATTGATACATAACAGCGACATCACGATGGGGGCGTTCTACAAACGTCTCTGTGATTGAATGTTCAGCGGTTGCCATGGTGACACGAAGCATCATTTTAGCAAAAAACAGATGATCTGAAAACTCAAGAGAAAAATCCCCAAAGTGATTTAAATTTCACGTTTTCCTGCCTCTGTGATGGTTCATGGTTCATGTTCCTGTTTAAGAGTTTGATTTTGGACTAAACGTGAGCGTGGGGCTTTCTGGGACTTTATAAAAGTTTGATATTATTTGAGAGAGATTTGTTTAACAGCACAGATCAGATTGTGTTCAAACAAAACTCAGATTAAATTATTATTATTATTATTTTTTATTGAACCGTATTAAATCGTTTTGAAATCTATCTTATCGAATCAAAAGTGCTCTGTAGTGCGGCGGTGATCCTGGTCTTTTTCTTTGAGTGTTTTGTGTGGAACAGGTCACATGATCAGTGTGTCATGTTTTCAGACGACCATCATGGCCGTGGAGTACGACGGAGGAGTCGTGATCGGAGCCGACTCCAGGACCACCACAGGGTGAGAGGGACTGAGGGGACGGGGGCGAGAGGGGAGAGGGGGAGAGAGAGGGAGGGACGGGCGGGGATGGGGGGACCGGGGCGAGAGGGGGAGAGAGGGGGAGGACCGGGGCGAGAGGAGGGAGGACCGGGGCGAGAGAGGAGGGAGGGAGACCGGGGCGAGAGGGGGGAGGACCGGGGCGAGAGGGGGAGGGAGAGGGCGAGAGGAGGAGGGACGAGAGGGAGGGAGAGGGAGGGACCGGGCGAGAGGAGGGGAGGACCGGGCGAGAGGAGGGAGGGAGAGGGAGGGAGGACCGGGGCGAGAGGGGGGAGGACCGGGGCGAGAGGGAGGGAGGGACCGGGGCGAGAGGAGGGAGGGACCGGGGCGAGGGGAGGGAGGGACCGGGGCGAGAGGGGGGAGGACTGGGGCGAGAGGAGGGGGACCGGGGAGAGGGGGGAGGACCGGGGCGAGAGGGGGGAGGGAGAGGGGGAGGGAGGCGAGAGGAGGGAGGACCGGGGGAGGAGGGGGACCGGGCGAGGGGAGGGAGGGAGGGACCGGGCGAGAGGAGGAGGGAGGACCGGGGGAGAGGGGGAGGGACCGGGGCGAGAGGAGGGAGGGACCGGGGCGAGGGGGGAGGACGGGGCGAGGGAGGGAGGGACCGGGGGAGGGACGGAGGACCGGGGCGAGGAGGGAGGGACCGGGGCGAGAGGAGGACCGGGCGAGAGGAGGGAGGACCGGGGCGAGGAGGGACCGGGGGCGAGGGGAGGGAGGGACCGGGGCGAGAGGGGGGGAGGACCGGGGCGAGAGGGGGGAGGGAGAGGAGGGAGGACCGGGGCGAGAGGGGAGGAGAGAGGAGGAGGGGGAGGGAGGGAGGACCGGGGGAGAGGAGGAGAGAGGAGGGAGGACCGGGGCGAGAGGGGGGAGGGAGGGAGGGACCGGGGCCTGTTTGAGAGCGTGTGTGACCTTTGACCTTTGTGTTTCAGAGCGTACATCGCCAACAGAGTGACAGACAAACTGACCCCCATCCACGACCGGATCTTCTGCTGCAGGTCTGTCCCACACAGAACCAGAACACAGAACCACCTCACGTTCTAAAGCACCACAGAGAAACACACACTCAGGTTCTACTCAGGATCCACTGACACCACCTCCTCCAAACCGAGGACGAGGATTTCAGTTTGACTGTTCCCGGACTGTTCCCGGACTGTTCCCGGACTGTTCCCGGACTGTTCCCGGACTGTTCCCGGACTGTTCCCGGACTGTTCCCGGACTGTTCCAGGACTAATCTGGTCCTGAATCAGGTCTATAGAGAAAAATCCCACACACCGTCTTACAGACACTACAGGTTTGTCTGACGAAGGCCGAGTGCTGGAACGTTGCACAGTTTGTTCTCATAAATCTCAGTTTGCAGTAAAAGTGTGTGTGAGGTTCCTCTCTGTTCTTGGGCTGTTCCTTCTCCTCCGACGCACACATCTCTAGTACCTGATGTGTGAAGTTGTCGTTCTTTGATATCGTTGGCCTGGATCAGGTCTAAAAGTGAATCACAGCATTTCCACTCTGGTTCTAAATAAATGAATCTGAAGTCGGTTCTAAAGGTTCTGTCTCTGGTCCAGGTCCGGTTCTGCTGCAGACACCCAGGCCATCGCCGACGTCGTGTCCTATCAGCTCGGCTTCCACAGGTACGTGAGGAGAACACGGTCAGGAGAACACGGTCACAGTCAGGAGAACACGGTCAGGGTCAGGTCAGGAGAACACGGTCACAGTCAGGAGAACACGGTCAGGGTCAGGAGAACACGGTCAGGAGAACACGGGTCAGGAGAACACGGTCAGGAGAACACGGTCAGGAGAACACGGTCACAGTCAGGAGAACACGGTCAGGAGAACACGGTCACAGTCAGGAGAACACGGTCACAGTCAGGAGAACACGGTCACGGTCAGGAGAACACGGTCACGGTCAGGAGAACACGGTCAGGGTCAGGAGAACACGGTCAGGTGTCAGGAGAACACGGTCAGGGTCAGGAGAACACGGTCAGGAGAACACGGTCAGGAGAACACGGTCAGGAGAACACGGTCACGGTCAGGAGAACATGGTCAGGAGACACGGTCACGGTCAGGAGAAACACGGTCACGGTCACGGTCAGGAGAACACGGTCAGGTCAGGAGAACACGGTCAGGAGACAGGAGAACACGGTCAGGAGAACACGGTCACGGTCAGGAGAACACGGTCAGGAGAACACGCTCAGTCTATTTAAACTCCATACACTTTCACTAGAATCGTTTGGATAATTTGTGTTTTTGAGGAGGGAACATTAGAACTTTAGAACGTGACTTAAATCTCAGTCAGTTTGTGTGATTCAGGAGTTTTAATGTGGAGAGTCACATTCTGGTGTTTAAACGCAGAGTGTTTTTGTCATCTCAGTATCAAGTATCAGTATCGAGTATCAGTATCAGTATCAGTACAGAGTGTGTTCCTGTGTGTTGTGCAGTATCGAGCTGGACGAGCGCCCCCTGGTGGAGACGGCCGCTCACCTGTTCAAGGCGAGCTGCTACAGGTACAGAGAAGAACTGACCGCAGGAATCCTGGTGGCCGGATGGGACAGACGCCGAGGGGGACAGGTGAGACACGAGGGGGACAGGTGAGACACGAGGAGGACAGGTGAGACACGAGGGGGACAGGTGAGACACGAGGAGGGGGACAGGTGAGACACGAGGAGGGGACAGGACAGGTGAGGACAGGAGGGGGACAGGTGAGACACGAGGGGGACAGGTGAGACACGAGGAGGGGACAGGTGAGACACAGTGAGAGAGGGGGACAGGTGAGACACGAGGGGGAGGACACGAGGGGACAGGTGAGACACGAGGGGACAGGTGAGACACGAGGGGGACAGGTGAGACACGAGGGGGACAGGTGAGACACGAGGGGGGACAGGTGAGACACACGAGGAGGACAGGTGAGACACGAGGGAGAGGGGACAGGTGAGACACGAGAGACAGGGGACAGGGGGACAGGTGAGACACGAGGAGGGGGACAGGGGACAGGTGAGACACGAGGAGGGGACAGGTGAGACACGAGGAGGGGACAGGCAGGTGAGACAGGGAGACACGAGGACAGGTGAGACACGAGGAGGGGGACAGGTGATTTTCTCAGGTGTACAGTGTGTATTTTCAGGTGTACCGCGTGTGTATTTTCAGGTGTACTGCGTGTGTATTTTCAGGTGTACTGCGTGTGTATTTTCAGGTGTACTGCGTGTGTATTTTCAGGTGTACTGCGTGTGTATTTTCAGGTGTACTGTGTGTATTTTCAGGTGTACTGTGTGTATTTTCAGGTGTACTGCGTGTGTATTTTCAGGTGTACTGTGTGTATTTTCAGGTGTACTGCGTGCCGATCGGGGGGATGTTGGTGAGGCAGCCGGTGGCGGTCGGGGGCAGTGGGAGCACCTACATCTACGGCTTCATGGATTCGAACTACAAACCCAACATGACCAAAGAGCAGTGTATGGAGCTGACCGCCGCAGGTACCTGACACACCGCACCGCCGTAACACTGTAACACCCCACCGCAACACCGCACCGCCGTAACACTGTAACACCCCACCGCAACACCGCACCGCCGTAACACAGCACCGGCACCTTAACACTATAACACCACCGTAACACTGCCGTAACACAGCGCCAGCCCTGTAACGCTGCACTGCCGTAACACTGTAAATGGTAAATGGTCACATTTTTCTATAGCGCTTTTCCACCTTCAAGGCTCAAAGCGCTTTACAACAAGGAACCACTCACACATTCACACACCAGTGTACACAGACACTGTGGGCAAGGTGGGTTAAGTGTCTTGCCCAAGGACACAACGACAGCATTCATCTGTGGGAGCTGGAATCACACCAGACAACCTGTGGGTCAGTGGATTTGACCACTCAACCTGTGATGTTTTTGTCGAGAGCTGGAATCAAACCACCAACCTTCAGATCAGTGGGCGAATGCTCCACCAACTGAACTACTGCCACCCGTAACACCAAAGTGCCGCAACACTGTAACACCACCGCAACACAGCACCGCCGTAACACCGCACCAGCGCCACAACACCGCACTGCCGTAACACTGTACCGCCGCACGGCCATAACACTGTAACGCCGCAACGTCGTAGCACTATATTGCCGCACCGCCGCAACGTTGTAACACTGTAACACCGCACCGTCGCAACACTGTAACACAGCACCGTCGCAACACTGTAACACCGCACCAGCGCCACAACACCGCACTGCCGTAACACTGTACCGCCACACGGCCATAACACTGTAAGGCCGCAACGTCGTAGCACTATATTGCCGCACCGTCGTAACACTGTAACACCGCACCGCCGCAACACTGTAACGCCGCACCGTCGTAACACTGTAACACCGCACCGCCGCAACACTGTAACGCCGCACCGTCGTAACACTGTAACGCCGCACCGTCGTAACACCGAACCACTGTAACGCTGCACCGACACAGCACCGCCGCAACACTGTAACGCCGTAACAGTGCACCAGTGCCGCCCCGCCATAACATCGTAACACTGCACCACCTTAACACCGCACCACTCTATTGTTGTGTGTTTGTTGTGTGTTTGTAGTGCAGCTCTGACTCTGTTGTGTGTTTGTTGTTTTTGTTGTGCAGCTCTGACTCTGTTGTGTGTTTGTTGTGTTTGTTGTGCAGCTCTGACTTTTGTGTGTTTGTAGTGCAGCTCTGACTCTGTTGTGTTTGTTGTGTTGTGTGCAGCTCTGACTCTGTTGTGTGTTTTGTTGTGCAGCTCTGACTCTGTTGTGTGTGTGCAGCTCTGACTCGTGTGTGTTTGTTGTGTGTTTGTTGTGCAGCTCTGACTTGTGTGTGTGTTTGTTGTGTGTTTGTAGTGCAGCTCTGACTCTGTTGTGTGTTTGTTGTGTGTTTGTAGTGCAGTTCTGACTCTGTTGTGTGTTTGTTGTGCAGCTCTGACTGTTGTGTGTTTGTTGTGTGTTTGTTAGTGCAGCTCTGACTCTGTTGTGTGTTGTTGTGTTGTTGTAGTGCAGCTCTGACTCTGTTGTGTGTTTGTTGTGCAGCTCTGACTCTGTTGTGTTTGTTGTGTGTTTGTTGTGTGTTTGTTGTGCAGCTCTGACTCTGTTTGTGTGTTTGTTGTGTGTTTGTAGTGCAGCTCTGACTCTGTTGTGTGTTTGTTGTGTGTTTGTAGTGCAGCTCTGACTCTGTTGTGTGTTTGTTGTGTGTTTGTAGTGCAGCTCTGACTCTGTTGTGTGTTTGTAGTGCAGCTGTGACTCTGTTGTGTGTTTGTAGTGCAGCTCTGACTCTGTTGTGTGTTTGTTGTGTGTTTGTTGTGCAGCTCTGACTCTGTTGTGTGTTTGTTGTGTGTTTGTAGTGCAGCTCTGACTCTGTTGTGTGTTGTTGTGTTTGTTTGTGCAGCTCTGACTCTGTTGTGTGTTTGTTGTGTGTTTGTAGTGCAGCTCTGACTCTGTTGTGTGTTGTGTGTGTGTGTTCTGTTGTGTGTTTGTTGTGTGTTTGTTGTGCAGCTCTGACTCTGGCGATGGAGCGTGATGGTTCCAGTGGGGGTGTGGTGCGTCTGGCGTCCATCTCAGAGGAGGGAGTGGAGCGTCGAGTCATCCTGGGGAACCAACTGCCCAAGATCTCCACACACTGAACACCTCCCAACATCTCCAAAACATCTGAGGGTCTCTGAGGGTCTGTGAGGGTCTCTGAGGGTCTCTGAGCGTCTCTCGGGGCTTTAGTTCAGTTTGTACCTTTTGTTGTTGTTGTTGAATAAATTGCTCTTCTTTGTCACCAGCGTCTTGAGTTTTTTTCTGACCAATCACAGCGTCTCGTCGCCTCTGATCCCGCCCCCTCCTCACTGCTCATTGGTCAGAAACGGCGTCAGTCTGAACTCCTCCAACAGAGTCTCAACTTTCAAATGTTTCACAAGAAAATCTGATTTTACACAAGACCAGGACTGAACCAGGACTAAACCAGGACTGAACCAGGACTGAACCAGGACTGAACCAGGACTGAACCAGGTCTGAACCAGGTCTAAACCAGGTCTAAACCAGGACTGAACCAGGTCTGAACCAGGTCTGAACCAGGTCTAAACCAGGTCTAAACCAGGTCTAAACCAGGACTGAACCAGGTCTGAACCAGGTCTGAACCAGGTCTAAACCAGGTCTAAACCAGGTCTAAACCAGGACTGAACCAGGACTGAGACAGGATCTGTCTGGAGACTCTTGACTCTTGGTGGAACATGACAAAGTAAAAGTACTTTAACATAAAATACTTTTACTTGAGTACATGTGAGAGCAGGTGTGTGTACTTTCTACTGCAGTACGTTTTAGAACTGAAAAGTAAAAGTATTTTGATATTTGAAAGCTGCTCAAGTTTTATATTTAACACAAAAACAGGAATAAAAACATAAATCTGAACAATTCTGTATCAAAAACACAAATTAAGTTTTATTCGATCTCAAAATCTGACACACAAAGTACTTTTACAAACAGGTACTTTAATACTTTTACTCTAATATTTACTTGAGTATCACAGTCGAGTTTTTCCACCGATGCTCCTCAGTTTATATTTACACTATAGAAAAGCTGCAGCTGTTTGGTCCATGTCAGGGGGCGGAGTCAGGGGTTCAGGGGGCGGGTTTAGGGGGCAGGGTGGTTTTGCTGTTTCATTGACTTCTGTGTTTGACATGTCCTTCCTCTGAGAGTCACACTCCCCTGTGATTGGTCAGAGCCACCTGTCAGTCACACGTAAGGCCCGCCTCCAGATGTGAGTGACAGCGGCAGGAGCCAATCACGTCGCAGCGTCTCCGAACAAACGAACAGGAAGAACCAATCACAGAGTCCACTTCAGACACCTGCAGAGAAACAGGATTAAACCAGAACTAAACCAGGGTCTAAACCAGGACTAAACCAGGTCTAAACCAGGACTGAACCTGTGTGTGTGCGTGTGTGACCTGGTCTCTCGGTGTGTGTGTCGGTGTGTGTGTGACCTGGTCTGTGTGTGTGTGTGTGACCTGGTCTCTCGGTGTGTGTGTGTGTGTGTGTGTGACCTGGTCTCTCGGTGTGTGTGTGTGTGTGTGTGTGTGACCTGTCTCTCGGTGTGTGTGTGTGTGTGTGTGTGTGTGTGTGACCTGGTCTCTCGTGTGTGTGTGTGTGTGTGTGTGTGTGTGACCTGGTCTCTCGTGTGTGTGTGTGTGTGACCTGGTCTCTCGGTGTGTGTGTGTGTGTGTGTGTGACCTGGTCTCTCGGTGTGTGTGTGTGACCTGGTCTCTCGGTGTGTGTGTGGTGTGTCTCTGGTGTGTGTGTGTGACCTGGTCTCGTGTGTGTGTGTGTGTGACCTGGTCTCTCGGTGTGTGTGTGTGTGTGTGTGTGCGTGTGCGACCTGGTCTCTCGGTGTGTGTGAGTCTGTGTGTGTGTGTGCGTGTGCCGGTGTGTGTGACCTGGTCTCTCGGTTTGTATGTATGTGTGTGTGACCTGGTCTCTCGGTGTGTGTGTGTGTGTGTGACCTGGTCTCTCGGTGTGTGTGTGTGTGTGACCTGGTCTCTCGGTGTGTGTGTGTGTGTGTGTGTGACGTGGTCTCTCGGTGTGTGTGTGTGTGTGTCTGTGTGTGTGTGAGACCTGGTCTCTCGTGTGTGTGTGCGTGTGTGTGACCTGGTCTGTCGTGTGTGTGTGTGTGTGTGTGTGACCTGGTCTCTCGTGTGTGTGTGTGTGTGGTGTGGTGTGTGTGACTGTGGTGTGACCTGTGGTGTGTGTGTGTGTGTGTGTGTCTCGGTGTGTGTGTGTGTCGGTGTGTGTGACCTGGTCTCTCGGTGTGTGTGTGTGTGTGTGTGACCTGGTCTCTCGGTGTGTGTGTGTGTGACCTGGTCTCTCGGTGTGGTGTGTGTCTGTGTGTGTGTGTGTGTCGGTGTGTGTGTGTGTGTGCGTGTGTGACCTGGTCTGTTCTGTGTGTCGGTGTGTGTGACCTGGTGTGTGTGTGTCTGGTGTCTGGTGTGTGTGTGTGTGTGTGTGTGTGACCTGGTCTGGTGTGTGTGACTCGGTGTGTGTGTGGTCTCTCGGTGTGTGTGTGTCGGTGTGTGTGACGTGGTCTCTCGGTGTGTGTGTGTGTGTCGGTGTGTGTGACGTGTCTCTCGTGTGTGTGTGTGTGTGTGCGTGTGTGACGTGGTCTCTCTCGTGTGTGTGTGTGTCGGTGTGTGTGACGTGGTCTCTCGGTGTGTGTGTGTGTGTGTGCGTGTGTGACCTGGTCTCTTGGTGTGTGTGTCGGTGTGTGTGACCTGGTCTCTCGGTGTGTGTGTGTGTGCGCGTGTGTGACCTGGTCTGTCGGTGTGTGTGACTCGGTGTGTGTGACCTGGTCTCTCCGTGTGTGTGTGTGTGTGTGTGTGTCGGTGTGTGTGTGACTCGGTGTGTGTGACGTGGTCTCTCGGTGTGTGTGTGTCGGTGTGTGTGACCTGGTCTCTCCGTGTGTGTGTGTGTGTGAGTCGGTGTGTGTGTGACTCGGTGTGTGTGACCTGGTCTCTCGGTGTGTGTGTGTGTGTGTCGGTGTGTGTGAGTCGGTGTGTGTGTGACTCGGTGTGTGTGACCTGGTCTCTCGGTGTGTGTGTGTGCGTCGGTGTGTGTGACCTGGTCTCTCGGTGTGTGAGCAGACACTTGGTGCAGCAGTATCGCCCTCCGCAGGTGGTGCAGGTGTAGTGCGACGGGAAACCGCAGACGCAGCAGAAGGAGCGGGGCGGCAGCGAGGAGGGCGGGGCCACGGCCGACAGGTAGTTAGGCTCCGCCCTCTCCGACAGGTTCTGCAAACAACATCACAGTGTGTCAGGTGTGTGTCAGGTGTCCTCCCGTGTGTGTCAGGTGCCCTCCCGTGTGTGTGTCAGGTCCCTGTGTGTGTGTGTGTGTGTCGGGTCCCTGTGTGTGTGTGTGTGTGTGTCGTGGTCAGGTCCCTGTGTGTGTGTGTCGGGTCCCTGTGTGTGTGTGTGTGTCCCTGTGTGTGTGTCCCTGTGTGTGTGTGTGTGTGTGTGTCTGTGTGTGGGTCCCTGTGTGTGTGTGTCGGGTCCCTGTGTGTGTGTGTGTGTGTGTGTGTGTGTCCCTGTGTGTGTGGGTCCCTGTGTGTGTGTGTGTCAGGTCCCTGTGTGTGTGTGTGTCAGGTCCCTGTGTGTGTGTGTGTCAGGTCCCGTGTGTGTGTGTGTGTGTGTCGGGTCCCTGTGTGTGTGTGTGTGTGTGTCAGGTCCCTGTGTGTGTGTCAGGTCCCTGTGTGTGTGTGTGTGTGTATGTACCTCTTCTTCCAGCAGGGCGCTGAAGTTCTTCCTGAACCTTTGTTTGAAATGATCTCCACGAGTTTTCCTCCTCCTCTTCTCTACAACACAGACCAGAACTAGACCAGGACTAGACCAGAACTAGACCAGAACTAGACCGGGACTAGACCGGGACTAGACCAGAACTAGACCAGAACTAGACCGGGACTAGACCGGGACTAGACCAGGACTAAACCAGAACTAAACCAGGACTAAACCAGGACTAAACCAGGTCTGGACCAGGACTAAACCAGAACTAAACCAGAACTAAATCAGGACTAAATCAGGTCTAAACCAGGTCTAAACCAGGTCTAAACCAGAACTAAACCAGGACTAAACCAGGACTAAACCAGGACTAAACCAGGACTAAACCAGGTCTAAACCAGGACTAAACCAGAACTAAACCAGAACTAAATCAGGACTAAATCAGGTCTAAACCAGGTCTAAACCAGGTCTAAACCAGGACTAAACCAGAACTAAACCAGGACTAAACCAGGACTAAACCAGGACTAAACCAGAACTAAACCAGGACTAAACCAGGACTAAACCAGAACTAAATCAGGACTAAATCAGGTCTAAACCAGGTCTAAACCAGGTCTAAACCAGGACTAAACCAGAACTAAACCAGGTCTAAACCAGGTCTAAACCAGGACTAAACCAGGTCTAAACCAGGTCTAAACCAGGACTAAACCAGAACTAAACCAGGTCTAAACCAGGACTAAACCAGAACTAAACCAGGACTAAACCAGGACTAAACCAGGACTAAACAGGGTTCAGACCTGGTTCCTCGGTCTCGCTGAAGGCCGGCAGTCGAGCGGTGGGTCCAGGAGGAGGAAGAGACGACAGAGGGTCGTCCTGGAAACACAAACACACAAACAGTTGTATCAGTATCTTCGTTCTGATTGGTCGGTTCTTAAAGTTCATATTTTGATTTAAATGTTACGTCCAAACCCCAGGGTCATGAAGAGCAGGTCACAGGTCAAAGGTCAGAGAGAGAGAGGGGGGGGTCACACTTTCACACACAAACTGAACCGGAGCCAGAGTCCGGGAACACTGACCTCTGACCTCTGACCTCCCCCTCTGACCTCCCCCTCTGACCTCTGACCTCCCCCTCTGACCCCCGACCCGTCCTCTGGTCCTGACCTGGAAGTTGTCCTTCTCCAGAGCCTCGAGTTGTCGGGTCAAACGTCGCTGCCTCGTGGCCTCGTCCAAAACCCTCCTCTGCCCCGCCTCCACGCGAGCTGTCGACCAATCAGGAGAGAGACGAGAGTGAGAGAGGACACAGCCAATCAGGAGAGAGAGAGAGGACACAGCCAATCAGGAGAGAGTGAGAGAGGACACAGCCAATCAGGAGAGAGGACACAGCCAATCAGAGAGAGAGAGAGACACAGCCAATCAGGAGAGAGAGAGAGAGGACACAGCCAATCAGGAGAGAGGAGAGAGAGGACACAGCCAATCAGGAGAGAGGAGAGAGAGGACACAGCCAATCAGGAGAGAGGAGAGAGGAGACACAGCCAATCAGAGAGAGAGAGACACAGCCAATCAGAGAGAGAGAGAGGACACAGCCAATGAGAGAGGACACAGCCAATCAGGAGAGAGGAGAGAGGACACAGCCAATCAGGAGAGAGGAGAGAGGACACAGCCAATCAGAAACGGTCATTCTGGCCTCAGTGTTTATTTTTGGTTCTTTTTTTCGCGGGTCAAATTTTAATCTGTAGAAAGTGAAATCTGAAATAAAATAAACTCATTTAATTTATCTAAAGTTTCCATAAAACTCTGATCTGTTCTGTTGTTGTGTTTTCGACTGAACTAAAGTTAAAAACAGCTGAGAAACACCTGGAAACTACCACTTGATGACATCACAAGGTGGAGCAGAGCGTTTAATAAAGAGTCACTCAAACATGTGAATGAAACAAACACGAGTCCAGCTCTGAGAGTGACGAGGAACAACACAACAACAAAACACAACAACAGAACAACACAACAGAACAACACAACAACAGAACAAAACAAAACAGAACATTAGAACATGATTTAAACGTCACAGAGTTCGGTTTGTTTTTCTGTTTCGGGTTTTTCGGAGCTGAACAAACAGAACCGCGGAGTTTGGGTCTGAACAGCCCCGGTTTATCTCAGGTCATGTTTTTGTGCTGGTTTTAAGGTGTTTTTGTCATGTTTTTGTCATGTTTTCGTGGTGTTTTGTGCTGTTTTGTTCGGACTCACCGGAGCTCTTCTTCTCCAGCACCATGGCGGCGGTACGGCGGCTGCGCAGGGACACGGGGACAAACGCGAAGCGGCTTCACTTGTGTGTTCTGTTTTTAAAAAAATATTATTATGGTAATTTTTTGTACTGTTATTATCATTATTTTATATATATACATATATAGTATAACTATAAAATAATAATATTAAATGATAATAAAATGTTTTTGTTTTTTCCATATTTTTATTCCATTCCAAAGTTCACGCATATTAACAAAACAGAAACAGAAAGAACAAAAGTAGAACTACAAAAATACATCAATAAAATGTGTTAAAAAAGAAAGAAAAGGAGGTTTCCCACATAGCAAAAAATATCCGCGGCGGATCCGCCCGGAGATTCGCGGCGGATCCGCAGAACGGATCCGCATCGGTCACTTGCACATCGCCGCGGATCAGCAACGGAATCGCGCGGGATCCGCGGCGGAGGCGCGGCTGATCCGCTGCGTGTCTCGCGGATTCGCCCAGGACCCGTTTTGGATCCGCTTTCAGAACCGGGTTATCTGCCCCGGATCTGCCGCGGATCTGTTTATTGTGTCGTTCGGAGCCTAAATATGTTTCAGATTTAATACTGATCCACTTCCTGCTGACCTAAAAACACCAGCAGCATTTGTGTTGTAATTGTACATAAAACTTTTACAGCAACTATTAAAACTAGGATATAAAGGCTTAAATTTAAAAACATAAACTTAAACAATGTCAGAGTTGGATCAGTGAAATCCTCCTGTCACTAAATCTCATTAGTTAAGAAAAAAAGAAACTTTTTTTTTTTTTTACATTGTGAACAATATTTATTTAAATCATTAATTATAAATCTTAGGACATGAATAATTATTATTAATGTTATAGGACTTATAAATATAAACCCTTTGAGTTAAACAATGCTTCATTCTTAATATGAAAATGACAATTTACAGTTTTTACTAAAAACAGTTCAAGTTAAGCAAAGTTTTTTTTTTTTTTTAAATGGCAAAAAACAAATCTAAGTTCTATGAGTAAAAGCCTGGACAGATGAGTGCAGCCGAACCAAACTGTAAAACTCAAACTGAACCTGTGTTTCCACCACAGAACAATTACACACATGGTTGTTCTTCTAGACTGTGAAGTGTGGAGCTTCAGAGCCTCTGTCTTTAACTTCAGTCTGAGGCAGATGTTTTGAGGCAGATGTTTTGAGGCAGATGTTTTGAGGCAGATGTTTTGAGGCAGATGTTTTGAGGCAGATGTTTTGAGGCAGATGTTTTGAGGCAGATGTTTTGAGGCAGGCAGATGTTTTGAGGCAGATGTTTTGAGGCAGATGTTTTGAGGCAGATGTTTTGAGGCAGATGTTTTGAGGCAGATGTTTTGAGGCAGATGTTTTGAGGCAGAGGTTTTGAGGCAGATGTTTTGAGGCAGATGTTTTGAGGCAGATGTTGGTGCAGTGAGTCTGGTTCCTCTTCAGTTCTTCTGGTGAAGATCCAGTCTGTCAGTGTTCAGCTCTGAGCTTCCCTTTTCTCACAGCATCTGAAATGACTCCAGTGAGAGTTAAACTCCTCATTACTCCTCTTGTTCTTGTGAGGAGTGTGGGTTCAGGTTTGTGAAGAACATTGTAAGTCCTGACAGTGGCTGTGTGATGTGAACATGAAAGGTGAACACTTGATTGGAGAGATGCACTTACAGAGGGTCAGTCTGTAAACTCCACCACAGCAGCTTCTGAAAGAAACAATCTGCACAACAACAGCTGTGATTATAATGTGCAGATGTTTAGTTCTGAAAGTGAATAAAAGAAGGTTAATACAGTAAACTTACAGAGGATCTGCCTCTACATCCCCACCAGAGGGAATCCTGTAAAACATCAAATAAGAGAAACACAAATATCAGTTTGGATCATTTCAGGCCCCAGTGTTTAACACAAGTGCAGTATTTACCTCCAGAGGGTCTTTATCAGGCCCTTATCTTCTTATTAACCACAGTAGATTCTGAAACACACATGAAAAACATGGTTTAACTCAGAGGAAATACTTCAGCGCAGTAAAACTGAACTCTTTTGTTTTAGTTTGAGCCTGAGTTTGAACATGAGACGTATTTCACTGCTGTTAATACACAATACTCGACTACATTTACTTTTACCACAACATTTCAAATATAATCATCAGTTTATGATGTGTTCATGATCAATATCAGTGTCATTTACATGTGACACATTAGTGTTCATGTCAACATCTCACTGAAAGTCTGAAGCCCCGTCTCAAGTCCCAGAACAGAAAGTTAGAGACAAAGTCAGATCTGACTCCAAACTAAATCTTCACTGTCACAGAAACCATGAAAAGTACTGACTCCAGATCAGAAGGACAGAGATGGAGACACTCAGCAGAAGGACAGAGTCCTGATGGAGACACTCAGCAGAAGGACAGAGTCCTGATGGAGACACTCAGCAGAAGGACAGAGTCCTGATGGAGACACTCAGCAGAAGGACAGAGTCCTGATGGAGACACTCAGCAGAAGGACAGAGTCCTGATGGAGACACTCAGCAGAAGGACAGAGTCCTGATGGAGACACTCAGCAGAAGGACAGAGTCCTGATGTCATCTGGGAAAAACAACATCAGTTTTGAGTTGTTATTTAACGTTAGCTGTTGTTAAAAGTTGTGCTTTTTATTACGTTAAATTATTGTGTTAAATTATTGTATTAAGGCAGTGACATGATGCACTTTAGTCTCAACTCAACAGTCAAAACTCTAGTCTACACAAATAATAATGATGATCTGTGGTTAAAAACACAACCAGATCAGACACCTGTGTCACCGTCGCTCCACAGCCGTCACAAGGTCACACAGAGCATGTCACAGTCACACACAGTCACACAGTCACACGGTCACACGTCACACAGTCACACATGACACACGAGTCACACATGTTACAGTCACACGTAACACACAAACACACACACACACATGAGTCACACATAAACACACACAGTCACACATGTCACACAGTCACACATTACACATTCACACATGTCACACATGAGTCACACATGTAAACACACACACACACAGTCACACATAAACACACACAGTCACACATACACACAGTCACACATGTACACACAGTCACACATGTAAACACACACAGTCACACATGTCACACATGTCACACATAAACACAGTCACACATGTACAGTCACACATGTAAACACACAAACACACACAGTCACACATGTAAACACATAAACACACACAGTCACACATGTAAACACACACAGTCACACATGTAAACACACACAGTCACACATCACACAGTCACACACAGTCACACAGTAAACACACACAGTAAACACACACAGTAAACACACAAACACACACAGTCACACATGTAAACACACACAGTCACACATAAACACACACAGTCACACATGTAAACACACACAGTCACACATGTAAACACACACAGTCACACATGTCACACAGTCACACACACATGTAAACACACACACACACAGTCACACATGTAAACACACAAACACACACAGTCACACATGTAAACACACACAGTCACACATGTAACACACAACACACACAGTCACACATCACACAGACACATGTAACAAACACACACAGTCACACACACATAAACACACACAGTCACACATGTAAACACACACAGTCACACATGTCACACAACACAAACACACACAGTCACACATGTAAACACATAAACACACAGTCACACATGTAAACACATAAACACACACAGTCACACATGTAAACACATAAACACACAGTCACACATGTAAACACATAAAACACACACAGTCACACATGTAAACACATAAACACACACAGTCACACATGTAAACACATAAACACACACAGTCACACATGTAAACACAAACACACACAGTCACACATGTAAACACATCACACAACACACATAAACACACACAGTCACACATGTAAAACATAAACACACAGTCACACATGTAAACACACATAAACACACACAGTCACACATGTCACACAACACACATAACACACACACACACACAACACACACACAGTCACACATGAACCACACAGTCACACATGTAAACACATAAACACACACAGTCACACATGTAAACACACACAAACACATGTAAAACACACACAGTCACACATGTAAACACATAAACACACAGTCACACATGTAAACACATAAACACACACAGTCACACATGTAAACACATAAACACACACAGTCACACATGTAAACACACACACATGTAAACACATAAACACACACAGTCACACATGTAAACACATAAACACACACAGTCACACATGTAAACACACACAGTCACACATGTAAACACATAAACACACACAGTCACACATGTAAACACATAAACACACACAGTCACACATGTAAACACACAAACACACACAGTCACACATGTAAACACATAAACACACACAGTCACACATGTAATATAACGTTAACGTTATGTACATTAATCATGACTCATACAATTCACTTTTAAACTATTTCTTCCAGTTAAATCCGCGGACAACAGGTGGATGTTGTTTCTTTCTCTCAGGTTCTGATCACGGCTCATGAGTCAGTGACGCGTCCGCGCAGCGAATCTGAACCGGTTTAGCCGCGGATCCGCGCATTGACAGAACAAATCATTGTGTCAAAAACAAAGTGTTGTGTTAAAAGTGCGTTCACAGTGCGGATCTAAGATGATTTAACCGCAGATTCTCTCTGTAACAGCAGCTCATCCAAGGGTTAGAGTTACAACAGTCAGAAAGTGAAGACGGAACAAATACGCAGCGGATCCGCAAAGCGGACGGACTGTGGGGCGGATCCTGATGCTGGTAGAAGAAGGAAACTCACCTGTTGTCCGCGGATTTAACTGTAAGTAATAGTTTAAAAGTGAATTGTATTAGTCATGATTCATGTACATTGTGACGTCTGTACGTGTGTGACTGTGTGTGTGTGTGTGTGTGTGTGTGTGTGTGTGTGTGTGTGTGTGTGTGTGTGTGTGTGTGTGTGTGTGTGTGTGTGTGTGTGTGTGTGTGTGTGTGTGTGTGTGTGTGTGTGTGTGACTGTGTGTGTGTGTGTGTGTGTGTGTGTGTGTGTGTGTGTGTGTGTGTGTGTGTGTGTGACTGTGTGTGTGTGTGTGTGTGTGTGTGTGTGTGTGTGTGTGTGTGTGTGTGTGTGTGACTGGTGTGTGTGTGTGTGTGTGTGTGTGTGTGTGTGTGTGTGTGTGTGTGTGTGTGTGTGTGACTGTGTGTGTGTGTGTGTGTGTGTGTGTGTGTGTGTGTGTGTGTGTGTGACTGTGTGTGTGTGTGTGTGTGTGTGTGTGTGTGTGACTGTGTGTGTGTGTGTGTGTGTGTGTGTGTGTGTGTGTGTGTGTGTGTGACGTGTGTGTGTGTGTGTGTGACTGTGTGTGTGTGTGTGTGTGTGTGTGTGTGTGTGTGTGTGTGTGACTGTGTGTGTGTGTGTGTGTGTGTGTGTGTGTGTGTGTGTGTGTGACTGTGTGTGTGTGTGTTGTGTGTGTGTGTGTGTGTGTGACTGTGTGTGTGTGTGTGTGTGTGTGTGTGTGTGTGTGTGTGGTGTGTGTTGTGTGTGTGTGTGTGTGTGTGTGTGTGTGTGTGTGAGTGTGTGTGTGTGTGTGTGTGTGTGTGTGTGTGTGTGTGTTGTGTGTGTGTGTGTGTGTGTGTGTGTGTGTGTGTGTGTGTGTGTGTGTGTGGTGTGTGTGTGTGTGTGTGTGTGTGTGTGTGTGTGTGTGTGTGTGTGTGTGTGTGTGTGACTGTGTGTGTGTGTGTGTGTGTGTGTGTGTGTGTGTGTGTGTGTGTGTGTGTGTGTGTGTGTGTGTGTGTGTGTGTGACTGTGTGTGTGTGTGTGTGTGTGACTGTGTGTGTGTGTGTGTGTGTGTGTGTGTGTGTGTGTGTGTGTGTGTGTGTGTGTGTGTGTGTGTGTGTGTGTGTGTGTGTGTGTGTGTGTGTGTGTGTGTGACTGTGTGTGTGTGTGTGTGTGTGTGTGTGTGTGACTGTGTGTGTGTGTGTGTGTGTGTGTGTGTGTGTGTGTGTGTGTGTGTGTGTGTGTGTGTGTGTGTGTGTGTGTGTGTGTGTGTGTGTGTGTGTGTGTGTGTGTGTGTGTGTGTGTGTGTGTGACTGTGTGTGTGTGTGTGTGTGTGTGTGTGTGTGTGTGTGTGTGTGTGTGTGTGTGTGTGTGTGTGTGTGTGTGTGACTGTGTGTGTGTGTGTGTGTGTGTGTGTGTGTGTGTGTGTGTGTGTGTGTGTGTGTGTGTGTGTGTGTGTGACTGTGTGTGTGTGTGTGTGTGTGTGTGTGTGTGTGTGTGTGTGTGTAACTGTGTGTGTGTGTGTGTGTGTGTGTGTGTGTGTGTGTGTGTGTGTGTGTGTGTGTGTGTGTGTGTGTGTGTGTGTGTGTGTGTGTGTGTGTGTGTGTGTGTGTGTGTGTGTGTGTGTGTGTGATGTGTGTGTGATCAGTTTTGACGAGTGCAGCAGCAGCTGATGTGATGAAGTGAGGTTGGGTGTCGAGACAACTGCATCTCCTGAGGTAAATCTCAATCTAAATACTATTTTTATATATCGTTGTAACTCTGCTCTGTGATCATTTGTCTCTTGAAGTTTTCCCCTCGACTGTGGAGCCGCTGTGACTCCGGTGTCTCAACTGGTTGTGTTTTTAACCACAGATTTTTATTATTATTATTATTATTATTATTATTATTTGTGCAGTGTGACTCTTAAGACTAAAGTACAGTCATGTCGGTGCCTTAATACAATAATGTAAAGCATAACTTTTAACAACAGAACATTAACTAATCAACCAAAACTTATATTGTTTTCCCCAGACGACAGCTCTTCTGCTGAGTCCCCATAAGGACCTGCACACTGATCACAAGTAAAAGTTAAGTTTTAAGAATAAGATATTTGTTCACTCTCCTCTGTCCAGGCTTTTACTCATATGACTTATATTTGTATTTTTGCTTTTTTTTAAACTTTGCTTAATATGAACTATTTTAGTAAAGATTGCAAATTGTAATTTTCATTTTTAGAACAATGCATCGGTTCACTCAAAGGGCAGACGGTCCTGTACCGTTAATAATAATGACTCATGTTCTAAGATTTGTAATAAATGAATAAAATAAACATCGTTTACATTGTAAAAAATCTGCTGCTTCTTTTGTTAAATAATGAGATTTAATGTTAGATTATCACTGATCCAACTTTGAGTTGTTGAGGTTCATGTTTTTAAATGTAAATGTATGTATATGTGGTCCCAGTTGTCTCAGCGCACCCAGCT